CTCCTCCTCCTCCTCCACCACCTCCTCCTCCTCCTCCTCCTCCTCCTCCTCCTCCTCCTCCTCCTCCTCCTCCATCTCCTCCTCCTCCTCCATCTCCTCCTCCTCAGGTGTTATTGTGGGGTTTATTAGCCAAAAAAACCCCAAGTTTTGGGGAAGATCTTACTGGTTCATATTTGGGTATCCTCACCTTTAGATGAGGTGAGAACAGGAACCCTGGGGAAGCAGGTAAATGGGAACCTACTTCAATATAAACCTCAGGAAGCAGGTAAACAAGAACCTACCTGAATATAAACCTCAGGAAGCAGTTAAATAAGAACCTACCTGAATATAAAGCTCCAGAAACAGTTAAATAAGAACCTACCTGAATCTAAACTTTGGGAAGCAATTAAGTAAGAACCTACCTGAATATAAAGCTCAGGAAGGAGTTAAATGGGAACCTACCTGAATATAAAGCTCAGGAAGCAGTTAAATAAGAACCTACTTGAATATAAACCTCAGGAAGCAGTTAAATGGGAACCTACCTGAATATAAAGCTCAGGAAGCAGTTAAATAAGAACCTACCTGAATTTAAACTTTGGGAAGCAGTTAAGTAAGAACTCACCTCAATATAAACCTCAGGAAGCAGTTAAATAAGAACCTACTTGAATATAGACCTCAGGAAGGAGTTAAATGGGAACCTACCTGAAACTTTGGGAAGGAAATAAATGGTGGGTTTGATTCTTTCCCTTCCAGGGAGGCAGGAAAGGTGCTGCTGTGTGGTATTCCAGCCCCATGCCCTGTGGGATCATCCAGCCTTGCAGCTCTGTGCAGGTCCCAGTCACTCTGGCAACCCAGAAACTGGGGGAGCAGGACACTGTGGCTCATGTTGCTGTGTTTGGGATGGAAGGTGATCCCCTGGTGAGTCCTTGGTGGGGTGTCAAGTGTAGCAGGGTTGCACATTCCAGGGGTTCTTGCTGGCAAAACAAGAAGTTGGAATATAGGGCTGGTGTGGAGAAGGAAAGAAGGGGCAACAGTGATGCCTAGAGGAGGAGGGGGGGGGTGTCCTCTTGGGAGGGTGTGATCTCAGAGTCTGACACAGCAGGGAATGCTGGACATGTGAGGCAGGATAACAAGCCCAGGCTGAAATCCCACCCAGATCCCTGAGTCTCCTCCTCTGCTGTGTTGCCAGAAGAACATCAACTTCCAAGCTGGATTGAAGCTTTTCTAAAAGCCAAGCCCATCAGGTCTGAGGAATAACCATCCAATCTCTTGGCCAGAAGCCCCAGCAGGACACACATGAGTCTCCACACCCCATATATCTGTATTTTTTCTACAAAGTTTGGGAATTGAAGAGGCCAAAGTCTCCTAAAAAGCCATGATTTGCTTTCAGCTGCAGCAATGGCAACAAAATGCAGGCAAGGAAACCTTGTCTGTGCTGTCCTGGCTTCATCCAGCTGAAACCCAGAACAATTTGAGTTAATGAAACATTAAAATGATGCTCACTTTTGAAGCAGCTGTTTAAAAATGTCTTGTCCTCTCTCTGAGCATGCAAGAGGATTCCTGAGCACCAGAAGCTTTCTGGAACAGAAAGGAAGGCTGACATTTTAAAAGGAGTCACAGGGATTGAAGCTTTTATTAAAACAAGTGGAAATGTTGCTGCTAAATCCCTTGGATGCTACTGAACATCTGGGCATTTCTGGATGTCAAGCAGCCAACAGGGAGCTCTGAAGTTGGACACAACAGTTGCTCCTAAATATAAAACCCTGTTTCCCTTCAAGGGGGGGTTTCTCCTCCTTAGAATGAGCAGCTGCTGAACTGGCTGCTGGGTTTTTAACCACAGATTTCTGTGCTGTGAGGGTGGTGAGAGCCTGGCCCAGGTTGCCCAGGGAAGCTGTGGCTGCCCCATCCCTGGCAGTGTTGAAGGGCAGGTTGGATGGGGCTTGGAGCAGCCTGGGCTGGTGGGATGTGTCCCTGCCCATGCAGGGGTTGGATCCTCATGATCTTTAAGGTCCCTTCCAACCCAAAACAGTCTATGATTCTTTTTCTACCCACCCCCTCCTTGATGAGGCTGGTGTTGGTACCCCCTCCCAGTGAGACCAGCCCCCCTCAGCACCCTCCAGCTGTTTTTTCTGCCCATCTCCAGGGGCTTCTGCCTTTCTTTGCTGCTTCTGCCCCTGTGTCACCTGGAAGCAAAACCAACTGACAAGACACAGCTCTGCCCTCCAGCTCCTTCCCCTCAGGAGCAGCTCTTCATCCCTCCCTTTTCCCAGAGGGATAAAAATCACCATCATGGCTCCAGTTCCTTCTTTTCAACCTCCCAGCCTTGCTACCTGATTTTTAGCTTGTCCTTACCCTGTCCTGTCAAGGCATGAGCATTTCTGGATCCTTTTCTTTGTGTCTTGGAGTTGCCAAGTGGTTCTGACAGCTGTCAGTGCTGGTTCCTTCAGCCAGACATCAGGACAGGGTTGGCATCATGGGCATCATCTGCTTCAATCAGACTCCTTGGCCTCCTCTGAATCCACCAGCAGCTTGTTGGGATTTCGATGCTGTGGATTTTTATGGGGTAGTTGGTGAAATCCAGCAAGGCTGGATCAATGCTCTGCATTCATTATACAAGCAAGCACTTTAGCAAAGGGATTCTCCTCCAAAAAAAACCTGGGCCAGTCCTGCCAGAACTAGACCTTTTGGGTTTCAGGCTGTCACAAGAAAAAACTCCTGCTTGAATGGGTTAATAATTAATTCATGTCTGGGATTCATACCAGGGAAAGCACAAGTCAGAGGCATCATCTGCCAGGCCTGATCTCTACCCTGCTTTGCTTCTGGGGTTCATGCAAGTGGGGAAAAAGCCCCAAACCTGGGAAACTGGGTGTTTTTATCCCCTGGATTAAGAGAGTTGGTGGCTTTCCAGTTGGATTTCTCCAGCCCCCCCATTTGCTCCAGGCCTTTTGCATCAGTGTTACAACCCTGGAAGCTTCAAATAACCCTAAATATCCCCCAGTCTTGGAATATCCTGGAGCTGTCTCCTATTTTTAAACTTTCCCTGTTGTTTGGTTGGTTTTTTTTTAACCTTTCCTACCTTCTTCCTGGAGCAGAAAATCCGTTTGGTGAGTTTTGGAGAAGGACCAGTTGTCTACGTGCACCCAAATGAGCTCAACTTTGGCAACATCCAAGTCCTCCAAGATGTTTCCCAAACTCTCCACCTCTCCAATCAGGCTGTCATCCCTGCATCCTTCTGGGCAGAGATGGTAAGGATCCCTGGGGGTTGTTTCCCAACAAAAATGTGACTTGGTTTGGTTTCTATATGAACTTTTCCATACTGAAAAAGCAGGATATTCCAGCAAGAGGAGCCTGGCTCTGGGGACAGATTGAGCTGGGGGACCTTTCATTAAATGGGTCTGGATCATTTTTAGGAGCTCTCCTTTTATTTTGTGGAAGGGATTGAGTGCTGAGTCATGTTTTTGGAGCTCTGACATCAAGTAGAACCCTGTGGCCTTAAGCTCCTGCAAGGGCATGAGCTTCCTTAGGAGCTCTCACTCTGCCAGGGCCATCAGGGCAGGAAAAAAGGGTTTGGGGGAGGTTTGTCCTTCTCTCTGCTGGGTGGGTTGAGCTTTTAGGGCTGCTTAACCCAGGCTGAATTTCCTTCTTGCTGCTTTGCCAGTTTCTGTGCCCAGGAGGATCAATGTAACCTCAGAGAGGGGGGTTCCCAGGGCAGTTTGTCTGGGACTCCACAGGGAAATCTGCTTTCCCAGCTCTGCAGGAATGGACCTGGGTGGGTGGCACTTGGTGTGTGAATAATGGGGATTGTGTGTTTGTACCCCAGTGTGTCCTGCTTAGGTCCTGGTGTCCCTGGGTGGTGCCTGCAGCAGACCCAGGGGACTTGCAGGGCTGGATAAGTTATCCAGGGAAGCTGTGGCTGCCCCATCCCTGGCAGTGTTGAAGGGCAGGTTGGATGGGGCTTGGAGCAACCTGGGCTGGTGGGAGGTGTCCCTGCCCATGGCAGGGGGGTAGGTCTGGATGATCTTGAAGGTCCCTCCAACCTGAACCAGTCTGGGATTCTGTATCTGCCTCACCCCAGTGCCCTGAGTGATGGGACTGGGCAATAAATCCTGTCCTGCGTCTCTCCAGTCCCTGCAAATATTGTGGCTGATCAATAAACAGAACAATAACATGAGGTGGTTTGCAGGTGATTTCTTTTCCTGCAGTCAAGATGCTCCATAGCCCTCCCTGCTGTGACTTCTCAGGGTTGGCTTATCTCAGGGTTGGTGAGCATCTTCTGCTTCTCAAGACTTCTCAGGACAGCTGCTGATTCATGGAAGTGTTTGCTGGGCCAGGCTCTCACCACCCTCACACCAAACAATTCCCTCCTCATGTCTCACCTCAATCTCCCTCTTCCAGTTTTCATCCCTTCCCCCTTGTCCTCTCCCTCCCTGCCCTTGTCCCAAGTCCCTCCCCAGCTTTCCTGGAGCCCCTTCAGACACTGGAAGCTGCTCTAAGGTCTCCCTGGAGCCTTCTCTTCTCCAGGCTGAACACCCCAACTCTCCCAGCCTGTCCCCAGGCATTTAGGGACAAGCCAGGAGCAGGGATGTTGTCAGACATTAGGTATTGGTGTCTAAAGGGCTGGAATGTTTTAGCATTTGGGCTCCCAGAGATGTTCCTGGGACACACCAGATGGGTGTAGCCCAAGCTGACCTAGAAACCCAAGGGAATCTGGCCAGGCAGAGCCTCTCAGTCCTGGCAGGTCTCCTGGTGGGGGGTGCCCTGAGCCCCTTGGAGCCCCCCCAGGGGCTGGCTGAAGGAACCAGGACAGGAGGCAAACCATGCTGCTCTGGGGTGGGCTGGTGGCCCAGCAGGGCCTGGAGGGTCTGCTTGGGTCACCCTGGGAAATCCCAAGCCTGGCTCCATCAAGACAGCTCATCATTATTCCTCAGGAAGAGTTTCTTGGGGACAATTTCCTGGCAGGCTGTGAGAAATGAGCTGTGGCAGGTGGCAGCTTTGCAGCTTCACCTCTGGAGCCAGAGCTACCAGGGCTCCTCTGCCCCCCTGGGTCAGGAGGAATCAGAGGAGAAGTTGTCCAGGGATGTTGATGCCAACCCAACACACCCACCAGCTTGGCATGACCCCCCTTGGCTGGGTCATCTATGGTCGGTGGGTCTTCTCTGAGGCTTGTGACCAGTTGCAGGGGTAGAAAAGAGAGTTGGTGGGATCTTCTGTGGTCAAGTGAGGTCAGGCTGCCTGGGATCATGTGTAGCTCTGGCCTTGGAGATGCACATGAACTTGGTGCTGCTTTTTTTGGTGCTTTCAGGAGGCTCCATCACTTGGGGAAAGCAGGGGGAGTTGTGTCACCTTCCAGTCTAGCTGAGCTCAGCCTGGTCTTCAAGCTCTGCTCCTCTTCTTCAGAGGGGCAGAAACCAAAGTGATCATTATCTAGACTCATATGAATATTCCCTAGCAGGGTATGAGGTCCCAAAGCAGAAGCAGGTTGCAGGTAGTAATGGATGTGGAAGATAAAGGAGTGAAAAAAGCCCAGCCTGGTCCTCCTGGAGCAGCAGAGCCCAATCCTGACCACCTTCCTCCATCCCATCTCCTTCTAGCTGCTTTTAAGACTTTCTCTGGCAGCTCTAGAGGACAAATTAAATGTAGCTGAGTTTATTCATTGTGCCTGGAATGATCTGGTTGCCTTTGGCATGAGCAGCCCAGACCTGCCCTCCAGGCTTCTCAAGCCTTTCTGGGGGAACCTACCCATTGTGCAGGGTCCCTGAGTGCTCAGCAAGTCAGTGCTTCCCTGGCCTTCTGGTCTCATCCTCAGCAGCAGCAGAGGTGGGTTTGGAGGGTTTATTTAATGCTTCCCATGATTTGGAAGTGCTGCTGGGTTTTCTGCTCCTCTTCTCAGAGCCTGATGGATGGGAACTTGAGCTTCACTTCACCTTCCCTGAGCTGGCATCAGGCTTGGGTCCTCTCAAGCATCCAAGCACAATTTCTGCTAAAAAACAAAGAAAGAAACCCCCTTTTCTCTTCCAATATTGCAGTGGTTGGGTGAGCAGGGTCTGTGGTGTCACACCCAGCACTGGATGGTGGTGCAGGTGCCACCACCAGGACACCTTGAAGCCATGAATCTTCACCCCAGTGCATGTCCTGCTGGCATGTGTGGTTTTTTAGGTGGGCTGGGGGGTCCAGCACCTTTCTTGTCCCATCTGTAGAGGGAGGTCCATGAGAAACCAGAGGAAGAGAGTGTTTGGGAGGCCTGGGCTGTGTGTCCACAGGGGACATGTCATGCAGTTGGTTTTCTCCTTGTTTCTTTCCTGTCCTGCTCTCAGCCTTGCCAGGTGAGTTTTCCAAAGCAGAGGGCACTGGGGCACCTGGTTGCAGCTCTGAGGGGCAGTGAGTCCTTCAGGGGCTGTTGGGAAGCACCTCTGAAAGGAAAGGAGACTTTGGGGTGAGGGGTTTGGTCAGTTGGGTTTGCAGAGCTGGGCTTCAGGCTCTGAGCAGTGTTCCCCCCCCCAACTGTGGGGCTGCCAAGGTGGGATTGGAGCTGGGAGGAAGCTGGGGGAAGGGAAATCAGCTTCCCAAAGGACAGGCAGGGGAGGGAATGACCTTCTCCTGAGGATGATCATCCCTTGGGTTGGGCAAAACTGGGTCAATGAAGTGAGGAGAGCAAAAGACAGGTTGGATGAGCTCCTGTAGAGTTGCTGCCTCACCATAGCTTGGGGAAATGAAGCTTTTATGATTTTTACCCTCATTTTCTCTAGTCCTTCCTTTTCCTGCAGCCCCCAGGAGAGCAGGGGCCATGGTGTCCACCCTGAGCTCCTCTTGGGTTTGTCTTCCAGGCTGGTAGATGCTCCCGCTGGAGGATTGAACCCAACAAAGGAGTCATCCCCCCTGAGGCTGAGGTGTCTTTGGCCATCATAGCAAACTTGGATGATACTGAGAGCTTCCAGGATGAGGTGAAGGTCTTCATAGAGAACAGCCACACCTCTGTCATCCCTGTCCAGGCTCTTGGCATTGGCACCACCATCGTCACCGACAAGCCCTTTGCTCCAAAGCTCAGCTTGGGACCCCACTTCAGGTAGGATCTCCCTCAGCTCCTGCTCCTCCAGGGGGCTCAGCAAGGAGGAGTTTTGCTGTGCTTCTCCTTCAGGACTCCAAGTCCTGGCTCCATTGCACTGAAGCCACAGGAGGAACGTTTTCTGGCAGTTGGAAAGTCATTAGACACCCTCAAAAGCCACCAAGAATAGACACCAAGTTGCTCAGTTGTCACTGAATTGCCCTCAGTGATGAAACATTGATTTCCTCACTTGATCAAATCAAGATTTGGAGGAAAGCAGCAGGTTCTGGGAGCCTGGGGCTGGAAAAAGCTGTATTCCAAGGATCAAGAGTTTTTCCTTCTGCAATATTGTTGTTTGCTCACTCACTCTGGAGCACAAACCTTGGTGGTGGCTTGTTAGGAGCTCCTCAACTCAACAAATGGTGCTGGTTTCTGTCCCCTCTGCCCTGGAGTCCTGGAGGAGCAGCAGGATTTGTCTTTGCTGTGACAAATCCCTCAGTTCCCTCCTCTCCCCACCAGGCTGCTCTTTGGTTGATGTGGTTGCTCTTCTGCCTCCTCCTTGTCTTCTCCACGTGGCACGTGAGGGTGGTTGCAGCTCTGAAGGGAGAAGGTTGAGGTTGGGTGGGAAGAACTGGGAGTGGATGGGAGAGTTTAGCTCAAGGGAGGGAACTCACTGAAGGTGGGGGTCAAACCAGACCCATCCTTGTAAGCAGGAGACAAACCTTCCCAAAGTCCTGGCTGCCTCATGTGGGAGATCATCTGGGGTGAGAAGAATGGTCTTCTCCAGGTGCCTCCTCCTTTCCCTGGCTGCAAAGAGGGTCCAGTACCTGCTTTTTGGGGTAGAAAGTAGGTTCATCCTTCCTTAAACCTGCAGAGTAGATGTTGGGGGGTTTCTACCTTGAAGCATTTAGATTGTGGGGGGTTCAATGTGCACCCCCAGCAAGCAGGGCTGGTGGAGGGAGGTTGGTGCCTTCTCTGTGGCCTGTGCAGCCACAGGTGGGTGACACAACACCCAGAGGACAATGTCAATGTGGTTCATGTCATTGTCCTCTGCTCCCCCACCCTTCCCATCTCAGCCTGCAGGCTCCCTTGGGAGCTGAGGGAACATCTCAGCTCAGCAAGGGCTTTCCCAGAGCCACAAACCCTGGGTCTGCCCAGAGCTTCTCCAGGCTTTCAGCTGCTCCTTTCCACACCATTAACCCATCTCATCCTCCAGGTAGAGAAACCATTTGGTGACTGGTCTGTTCTCTGCTGTCTCTTGGGTGTTTGTGTTTAGCTGGGGAGCATTTTAGAAAGCCACATCTTCTCTACCTTTCAACTGGTCCAGAACAGTTAATTTCCTGGCCATGTTCAGATTTATAGAGGGTAAAATAATTACTCCTGCAGCCCATGGTTCTTGACATGAAGGAATCAGTTTCCATCAAACTCTGCATTTGGTGTCAGATCTCTGGTCATTCATCTCTGAGTGAAGGGGGTGACAAGTGGATCTGGTCCTGCTGCCCTGGTTGTGTCATGCTGCTCCCAGTGCTTGGATCTCCCTCAAACCCAATCCCAGGTGCTTTCTTCAGGTGATATGTTGGGGGTGGCAGGGGTTGGATGCTCCCCAAGGAATGGGGTGCCAAGGGGCCCTGCCAGAGGCACAAGTGGGGCCCAGATCACCAGATATCTACCCTGCAGCTCCCCAGGAGCAGCTCTGGAAGAAGCCACCTGAGGCAGCAGCTCCCAGGGGGAAGGTGGAAGGGCAGTGAACTTGTTCCCTCAACCCTTTGCAGCCAGGCCAGGCCAGAGGAACATCCAGTGCAGCAAGACCTGCAGGAAGGATCTTGGAGGAAACACTCCCAAGTGTTAATTACAGAATTGTCAGGGTTGGAAGGGACCTCTGGAGATCATCAATCCAAACCCTCTGCTAGGGCAGGGACACCTGGAGCACATCCCACAGGGGGATGTTTGGAGTCCAGGTGGGTTTGGGATGTCTCCAGAGAAGGAGACTCCACCACCTCCCTGGGCAGCCTGTCCCAGGGCTCTGTCACCCTCACTGTGAAGAAGTTTTTCCTCCTATTTCAGTGGCACTTCCCATGTTCCAGCTTGTGCCCATTGCCCCTTGTCCTGTCCCTGGGCACTACTGAGCAGACTCTGGCTCCATCCTCCTGCACCCACCCTGAGATACCTGTAGGTATTGATAAGGTCTCCCCTCAGCCTTCTCCTCTCCAGGCTAAACAGTCCCAGCTCTCCCAGCCTTCCCTCATCAGGGAGATGCTCCCACCCCCCAGTCATCTTTGTCACCCTCCCCTGGACTCTCTCCAGCAGTTTCCTGTCTCTCTTGAACTGGGGAGCCCAGAACTGGTCCCAGTTCTCCAGATGTGGCCTCACCAGGGCAGAGCAGAGGGGCAGACTGACCTCCCTTGACCTCCTGGCCACACTCTTATGCACCTCAGGATTCCATTGGCCACAAGGGCCCATTCCTGGCTCATGGATCATTTCCTCTCTCCCAGGACCCCCAGATCCTTCTCCTTCCCAGCAGGTCCAGCCCTCCCCTCTATTGGCGCATCTTCTCCAAAGGCTGGGGAGGCTTCATCTCCAAAGGCTGCTGATGCCTTCAGCTCCAAAGGCTGCTTTGCAGGAGCTGGGGATGTTCTTCCTGCAGCTTTCCCTTGGTGTGAGCAGGCAGCCCAGCTGCTGGATGGTGACAAACTCAGGAGCCACCAAGTTGTGGCTCTCGCTGAAGCTTCAAACCAGCTCCGCCGATTCCCAGCTCTACTGGTTCCCTGGTCCCCTTAGGGTGCTGAAGCTGGCTGACCACTGAGAGCTGGCACCTCCTGTGACCCTTTTTTTCCCTCCCCCACCTCTGCTTTCCCCCCAGC